GCACTGATTGCTCAAGTCATGAAGCTCATTTAGCGTTGAGTCTATGCAAGCATGGCCAGCCCCTACATTGACAAACCATTGATGTCCTGAGGATGAGGATGAGGATGAGGATGGCTTCTGCCAAGGAATGAACAGAAACATTATAGATTGTCCACAATGAAATTGGCCTCCTTGAATTAAATAACATTAAAAACAAGATCAAATTTGTTAAATCTCTGAAACAGAGGTAAATATTCTTCACATAAAGGAGGCTGCTGACAGTACAGTCCCATGACCTGGGATGACATTGAAAGAGGTCATCTGGCAACCTAAGACCTGGAGGACCTGAGTGGTTGAAAGGTTTCTGCACAGGAACAGGAACCTCCATAATAATCTCTGATAGTGGAGCTGCGGTCACTGGCAGATGGCTAAGGAGTTACTATTTGTTCCAGAGCACCCTAAGAAGCGTCTTCAAATGTGGAGGGCAGCCAATCTTCATCCCATTCAAATCTCATGAACCTCCCTCCTGAGCAAAGAAGAGTTAGGACCTGAGGAGATAAGGCACCTTGCCTCTCCCCGCACTGCGCATCACCCCCCCCCCCCCCCACCCCCACCCCCCCAACACCTTCATGTTGACATTCCTGTGTGGAACTAAGGGACTAGGCAATGGTGTGCAAGTCTGCACATCCTTGCTGAATCTGTCTGTCCATGGGGCTTGACATTTTCTCAATAGAGGATGGCATGTGCTCATCTACTTGAGACATTATGCCACTCAAAACCAAAAGGACTCCTCTACTGTCTTCTTATGATTACCTGATGTTCTTTCACATCTCCCTGTAACTCCAGAAATTTCCATCTAGAGGTTCGTCATCAGCTTTGCTATCAGTATACTCATGGCGTCCCATAGATGTCCGATTGTTATTGATCTTGCTTGTACAATCTTGGAGAGCCAAACTGTAACCAACAATCTGAGACCGATTGTGACCCACTGAGGTGACAGTATTTGCACTGGATACTGAATACATTGAAATGGTGTTGAATACATTGGGATGGTGCACTCTCTGATATCTTTAACACCCCCAAATGACCTGGACAGTGTAGCTGAAACCATTCCCCTGAGTTTCCACAGCCTGTATGTAAAAAAAAATTTAGGAAAAGCAATGTTTGGGTCCGCCTATACTAACTGCATATTCTGCAAGACCCTAGAAAGCCAATGCTGCACATGTGAACACAACAGATTGGATTTTATGCTCCCCTGCCAGCAGGTTTGATGGCAGGAAGGGTATATAAATTCAATAAGCAACTGTCCACCACCTATCCATCTGCTCCTCCCCGACTGCAACTTTACAGTGGCAGTGGGAAATAAACATCAGGTGAACCAAGTGAATTAATGTTGACTTACAGGTCCCCTCCCACTGCCAATGAAACTTAACTGATGGTGGGAGAAGCACATGCCAAGTAATAAACCCAAAAGCCTTCTCTGCTCAGAGGGGAATCTCAGAGGGCAAGCAGAGGATCCCCTTCAGCAGGCCCCTGAGACTATTGGAAGGTGATGTCGGGAGCTCAGGTCCCTTTCCTCCACCATGGCCTCTCAAACTCACTTCACCGTGTCCTGCTGAGGTCCCCAAACACTTAAACACAAAATCCTGATCCAGGGCTAAATGTCTCCTTAAGCCCTAAATGTAGTACCAGCAGAGGACACTGCTCCCAGTGGTAATGCTTCTACTAGAGAGCTGCAGGGCCGGTTGACCAGATCTCTGAGGTGGGGGCTTTCTGACCCTAAGGGGCATTTCAAATTGATTAATGGCCAACTGGTTGATAAATGGATATGGGGAAAAAAAACGTTCTTCTGCTACTCGCTCACTCACTCAAGGCCCCCTGCCCCTGTATTATAACAGAATGGTCCCATGCCTTGTTAAGGCTAAATGACCAACTGCTGCATGATTGCAGTCAGCCAGCTGGATTTCTGGGAATCGATGACGCATACCTGCTTCCAGTGCTCCTGCTGGATCCCACACCAATGACTTGGAGGCAAGCAATGCTTAAACATGCAGTCCATAATTTTATCCAGTTAGAATAACTTGAAATGTTTGCCTAGTGAATTTATTGTTTAGTATATTTTTCTGAGAATTTAAAATCTTTTGGGCAAGTAGCTGTTACTAGGAGGCAAGTCGCCATGAACAGGAGGTTGTGTAGGGGGCCAAAAAAGGACTAATTTTTAAAATCATAGAAATCAGTCTCTTGTATGCTAAAGAGTTGAAAGTCATGCTGGAGGAGTTGCACAAAAGGAAGGTGGCCCTTCCAAGAATTGGACATCACTCTGCAGTAAATATATAGCAGTCACGCAATCTTTTATTTTTGGCTGAAAATGAGAACAATATGTTCTAAAATCAGGATGCTCCTCACTACTGTATTTTTATTTTGTGTGAGCTCATCAACCATTGCAAAACCTGACAAGATTTCTGTTCTTTATATGAGGTATCATCTGAAGCTTGTGTACAAACTTTGCTCCTCTTTTATTGCAGTTGATAGAGTTGATACAGTTGAAGGTAGAAGTGGCAGTCAAGGAACAACATAAGGAGGCTGAGGTGTCCAGGCAAGATCTTCCTCTGCTATTCAAATTCAAAATTGTTTTCCTTATTAGTAAGTCTGCTCATCACTGTACCTTTCTCCAGCGCTGTGCCCTGTTTGCACTCTTCAGTGGAATGACTCTGGCTTCCCACGAATTACACTGTCCCTTCATTTCATCAGTCTTCAGCCATATTAACTTTATTTTTGGAGGTACGTTTCTACTGCCATCCAGCGTGCTCTGCTATCTTGTAAAAGCTACTCAAAACTGGCCATTACAACTTTTCCTTTGACCACTTTCAGCTGATTCCTCTTGCTGGTCCCTGCCCAATCTGTCTTTCTGTAGGATTCCTTCCTGTCTTTTATAAAACACTCTACTCATAGTTCTTTTGACTCGTTATTACAGGAAAATAAATTGACCCACTCAAAAGATGGTTATGCTTAATTGGTTTAGTTTGTTTGTAACTAAGATTACAGATTTTAACATGAACATTGATTTGCAATGGTTACGGAGAAATTAGACTGTTTATAGATAATGGTTACACATTTTACAGATTGAGAAAGGAAAACAAAACGGCAGCAGTTTTGTTACTTTGCTTCCAACAATTCAGCCTTTCAGTACTATCAAGTGCCATAATGCTCAAATACATTTACTTTCAGCAAGCGAACATTTTACTGATATCAAGCTCAAATATACTTTTAACCAAGGTCATATATACACCAGAAGTAACTAGCTCCTGTGGTTCTAGATTCTTTTAATGATCAGTGATTCTTTTCCCCTGTCTCTTTCTCGTTCTCTGTCTCTCCTTTTGACGTTTCCTTCTGTCAACCTACAGAAACTTCTTTCTTTGATTGCAGTACAGGTCATCAATGTATTCAGCCTTTTATATCCTTTATCAAGATATGGGGTTAGTTTATGATACTGACTAGCCATATTGCTCAATGGATTAGGAAGCCTTGTGATTCAATGGGTAAGTCCCTTGTGTCTGAGGCTGCAGCTCTAAGTTTGAGTTCCCACCAATGACTCCAGCCAGGAATGGATGGTCAAGGAAAGTATGTTCATAACACAAGATGACAAGTTGATTATCCTGATCAATCATCTGCTAGAAGGCAAGTTGCAACTTCGACCATCACTATCCCAAAACATTGTGTACTCCAACAATCATGTAAAAAGTATATGTTCCTGCAACAACTCAGCTTCTGAGTGACCTGTAACACACCACCACTGTCCAATGAAGCTTTGTTCAACTGCAACACATAATTATGTTCTGCAGCGTCAGTTTAAATGTGATTTGTACCTGTGCAAAGTAACTTATCTTATGCAAAGCTCTTTATAGTCAGTTTTCCAGGAAAAGAAGTTTATGTTTTGCTGGAATTTCTTATCTCAATTCAAGGCCTAGTTTTCATGGCTAAAACACTAGTGTTTCTGGCTGGGCTATGTTATCTCTCTTATTTCCCTTGATGTCATTTGTTTGGCCTCTTAACAAGTTTAATTTTAAAAGACTGACAAACAAGTTTCTCTTCAATGCTACTTTTCTAGTTTTGCAAGGTATGTTAATTCAATGCCAAGTTTTCAAAATAAAAGATTTTTTTTGTCCACTATTTCTGAAGTGCTTTGGGATATTCCCCTCTATTGGTATAAGAGTATAAACTGATTTTATAGCAAAGGAACTGTTCATGAAGCAATGGAGTTCTGTGCTTATAATTTTAACTCATCCCATTTAAATGTTTGGAATTCTACACTCAATTTACGTAAAATATTTTCTCAAATCTTTGTATTTTTGTGATGCATGTATAAAATTAGTTTTCACAAGATGTTCTGCATTACTGTAATTTAACTCCTGAAATAATGGTGGTGAATGTGGTGCTGGTTGCTTATGTTTCTTACTTTCCTGATTACTGTTTTGAAATATCGTGTGCAAAGTGCTTTGTAAAGGATTATTTTCAGATGACTTTGCAATTTTGGATTAATCATAGCCTTTGACGGCAGCAGTACTGCATTGAAAACTCGATGAAGTAAAGTGTAAAAACACAGTGAAACTAGTTTCTGGGCCAAATAGCCAGGGAACCTTGATAGGACAATCTTACAATTCATTTCTTAGTTTTACAAAATTAAATAATTAGGCAAAAGATACAGAAACTTTGTAAATTGTTCTTTTAGACTGAGTGTGGAATAAACTGAGGATATAGAAACCTGTTCGTTTCTATAGGCTGAATTTATTTTCTTCTCTTTTGCTACGGCTTTGAGCCTCGCATCAGTTACATTGAGAATTTCACTTAGTTCAAATACTCTGTCATGTGGTTAACCATTTGAAATATCTTTTCAAATGTTCTTGTCCATCTCAATGACAGAATGCAGTGGAGCCTTTTCCTGGGATAGGGATACAATTTTTTACAACAGTTGGGCTTAGTTGCTTTTTGTTTTACTAATGCTGCCCTTATTTTTATTTCAGAGAACCAAGAAAGATTGTCCTTCACAAAGGGTCCACAGGATTAGGCTTTAACATTGTCGGTGGAGAAGATGGTGAAGGGATTTTTGTATCATTCATCTTGGCAGGTGGGCCAGCAGACCTCAGTGGAGAGCTACGAAGAGGAGATCGGATTTTATCAGTGAGTGATAAGTGTGTTTACTGGAGATGAGGAAATTCCCTTAGGAGTTTAAATTGATATCAAGTGTAACATCAATGCTTGAGGCAAGCCCCATGTTGAATCTAATCAGCTTTCTGAAATTACATTTTACAAGATGAAGAGGAGTTAATCAGCAAGATTTTGTCATGTACAGAGTGATCAAGCAGCAGTGTGCACTACCATAAAATAATTGATAAATAATCAATACCATGCATGATCTTCACTGTTGCCAGTTCTAACCTCACAATCAGGGAGTAATATCAAAATGAGGGAAGTACCTGTACATAAGAAGGAATCGGGGATCTTGAAGTACATTTTCATAAACTGAAGAGAGCTTTATAGAAGTTAGGATGTGCCATTAAATGACAGTGAAGTAACTATATATAGGTGGATGCCTTTATATGATTTGCACAGCCGAAGCAAAGGCATGGTTGTATAGATCACAGGAAGCAGACTTTGATAAGTGGAGCATGAGTTGCAATTCCATTTTAAGTGTCAAATGAACTCAGCTTCTAGAAGTAAGTCTTTCATTCGCTGAGACCATGGAAATTATTAATATGCAAGATGAAAATGACAGTGCTGCATGCAGGTGGCATCCTGAGAATAGGGTTTAATTTATCAAATGAACATACAAATTCAGAGTAGGAGAAACTGCTGTCACCATCTTTGAACACAAAAATACTGTTCTTAAGTGAGATGCTTTCTGTGGCTTTGTTGACTACCTGTCTGCCTCCTTTCTTCTGACTGGGGATCAGAAGATTCCTTCCCTGACTGCACTTACTCAGGCTATGGGGTGACCACGTCTAAAAATGTGCTCGCCTCATGGCTGCTCTCCGATGCCTCCACCCAGCATTCAAGCTTGAAAACTTTGTGCTCAAAAGTGGATCAACTAGTGCTATTTATTGCAAATATAATCATCCAGACTGACAGGAGTATCTAAGATTTCCTACATACTGCAAGCCACACAATACACATGATTGAGTTCCCCTACCATATCTATACTTGAGAAACACACTTACCCTAAATTAAACCAAGTAGAAAATTAATTAAATCGTCTTTTAAAAATAAGTTAGAAGTTAACTTTCCCGAGTGCAACTTTAAAATGGACAAAGACAGCTTATCCACTACCTCCCACTCAGCTCACTGCCTTGTGCTGATGTCACTTTTGTCAGCCTTTTTGAATTCTAGTGGGGTCCCTGCTGCTTCATCTGAGCTTCACCCAAAAACCTTTCACAGGGAAGCTCTTCTGCCACCATTCAACTCCAGGTTCCCACTGCTGCCACTCTGACTGGCTCGTCTTCAAGCCTATAGACTAGAAAGTCTTATCCTTTTTAATGTCCTGAGTCCAATTCAGATCCACACTCTGTCTGCTTCACAGTGATGCTGACTTGTTGCCCATTCCTCCCAGCCTGCTTCACACTGTGTCTGATCTTTGCACGTTCCTCTAATCTTAGTGCGATTTCCATCCAAGTCCCCAGAAAGTCAGCCTATGGTTCTGAATTGTTATTTTAGTGATATTACCACTCTGCCATCACCTCCCTACTTTATTAATACCTCAGATTATAGATGCACAGTGATATTTGTTGGGGCCATTGAGAAGGATGATACAGGTATGCAGCTTCTATCTTGTGCTGCACTTAATCCTGGAATGTTTGTGAGGGCAATATTCATTGCATAAATTTACTATGCATTTTAACCCTTACTACTTGATCTAAGCCTGCTGGAAATTGAGATTTATTTCACCTCTGGTCTGTAATGCACCTGACCAGATAACTTACTGTGTCAACAATGTGAAGTGGAAAAACCATGTGAGATAGAGAATGTTTCACTTTTCTTTGCTGATGGTCTCTGCCTTTATGAAAACAAAATTGTATAACATTCTCTTGGAAATTTAAGCATGTGAAATGACCAGTAATAAACTTTTGGTGTTGCATAGAAAGCAATTATAGAAAATTCATACAATATAATCCGATTATCTTGACTCACTGACTAGTTACAGACATTAAACCTGTTTATGTCTTACATGAATAATAAACTCTGTTTATACAATTCATTCTCTTATAGCTTTCTAAAGATAGTAGCTGCATGACTCAATTTTTCCTTCAACACTGCCTCCATGTAGATTGCTCTGGAGTAAAACAGCAGCAGTATTTGTGCGATATAAATTAATTCCTACCCTATAATACAGGATAGTGGAGCACAATCTACCCAGTACCAATTCATAATTTGCTGAGAGTTTTTGGTATATGTCTCTAAGATTCTTATTTTATGACTGTGGCCACTGCCCCTTTGGCAGAGACTCTGCCAGTTCATTCAAATGGCGTATATTTGTGATGTAGATTCAAATAAGTACAGGGTTTTATGAAAATATAAATAAATTTTATATGTTAGATATGATCAGCCATTCCTCTACGACTGATCATTACTTTTCATTGCAAGGATGTTACCAGCCTGCTGCTGCCTTGAGAGGCAGCTAAGAATTATGCAACTCAGAATCAGAAACGTATTGCTATGGTTATAGTGATTATAACAAGGTCAGCCAGGTGGACCTCATGGAATATGAGTTCCCTAATTGGGGCCGTTAACCTGGTCGAATCAGGGAGCCTTGGCTGACAGATATAAACATGAGTGTCAGAGGTTCTGTTCACCCTGAGAGCTGGCTCTGAGGAGGCTGAATCCATGTCAAGGACTCTTTGCATGTAATTAAATGATGACTTGGTGATAGGATACCGGCCTCTATGGCGTTATTTCAATGGTAACTACCCCAGTTGAGGTTATTGTCACAATCATATATAGCCTGTATACATTGACACTCTTCTGATCCACCTTAATCAAGAACTAAGTATGCTCTATATTATTCACTATTTATTCCAACAACTCCTTCAAAATATTTGTGATTGGAATTCTGTTACTCAAATGTTTGTTCCTTAGGTTAGTGCCCACCTTGATGCCTGTATGCTAGATTACTTGCTTATTAGCATTTCCTCATTCCAAGATGCTTTCCTGCCACGAGCAGTTCATTGGCAATGCCCTGGTCCTGAGGCAAGAGGGGGTTTGGTGACACCTGTACAGTCAAGAGCAAAGATATATTGCAAAGGATTGGCTGATCACTTCCAACATATGAAATCATGGTATTTTCGTTAGCTATGTACCTATTTTAATCTTGATCATAAATACGTTTTATTTCCCCGTTTGCCTTATTGAATCATTGTAAATCCAACTGAAAGAAGTCTTTGTCTTCTACCATTCTGGAAGTTGCACAATGGAATGAGAATGGATTTGTTGACTAATCGGCATTTTTAAAATCTATCAATTAATCTAAAACAGACACACACCTGACACAACAAAGATGCCATTGGTTGACATGCTTTAGTAAATATATACAAATTATTATTTTCCTGTCAAGTACATCATGTTTACCGTGACACATTTTCTTTCCATTACTCAGATACAAATCCCAAAATATTATTTTTAGAAGAGATTTATCTAATTTGGTTATTTCTGGACAAGGTGCAGGAAAGCAGGTTTCTCAGTCTACTTTGTCAGTGGGCATTTAATAAGTAAGTCTGCATCACTACTAGAAATTGCCAGTAACAAAGTGGGAACTTAATTATGTTTTAAACAATCCATCTTACTTGTTTCAGGTGAATGGTGTAAACCTTCGGAGTGCTACCCATGAGCAGGCAGCAGCAGCACTCAAAAGAGCTGGTCAGACCGTGACCATTGTTGCCCAGTACAGACCAGAAGGTAAGCATGTGTGCTGTACTAAAACTGATTTCGAGTGAGAAGCATCAGTGTTTCTGGTGATGATTAGGTAAAGCCAGATGTGGCATGTTATAACCTTACAGCAGATAATATTCCTCTCTTTTTTTACTTAAGAATGCTTGATGGTTTAATACAATTCTTACATCTCAAAAAGCTATACATTATCCCCTTCACAGTCAGTTGTTCCACACTGATGCTTAAACAATGCTTAATATGTAGTCCAGCCTGATTGTTGTACTTGATTATAAAATAATTTAAATAATTACTATTTCAAGTTAAACACTATACCTGAGTGTAAGTCTCAAAGGTGATTTCAAATTCCATTTTTTGTTTTGCTCTGCCAGTGTATTATGTCCTTTTCAAGGTAGTTTTAATCTGCCTTTGCATTTTGGGAAGAAACTTGAAACAGACCCTACACTACATGTGAAACACTACATAAATGCAATATGCAATATGTTGATTTTGTTTATTTGGATGGAACTACTGCAGCCTTTATTTGTTGCCTCAAGGGGGCCTCAGTGAGCTATAAAAGCACAAACTGCTTGAGAAGAGATTCAAAGACAATTCAACATCCTTGATCAAAAAAGCAAAACAATATTGTCATATATCAGCGATGCAACCAAAAGGAACACTTAATTTGTAATGACCAGCAGTTAATATGATCAAATGGACAGCCGAAACTGTTGGAACAGTGATCCGACACCTGTTCTTCATGGTGAAGAAAGAGGACAAATTTGCAAATTATAATCTTTAATTTTTCAAAACATTCCCGTGCACTTCGTATGCAATTATTAACTTGCTGCAGAGTCACAGTTACCCTGTAGCTAAAGTCCACAGCCATACAAAGCAAGTGACATTCTGTATTTGTTGATTTTTTTTTTAAGGGTTTCTCCTTTAGAAAGATAAGATGGCATAAGTACCAAGGATTGCACACACATTATTAAATCTTTTAATTTGGAATCTATAAATACGATATTTTTGTGAGATTAATATAAATAAATCTTATGTACCCTACCATTTTATGATTTATCAAAATGAATATTTAAATTAATAACTTATGGAAAAAGAATGCAACATTAATACTGAGTTTCAAGGAATTATTATTTCTGTACCCAGGAAAAATATAATTTTTGAATAGTTTCCTGAAAACCTTTGTAAAAATTGAATGCAGGATGCTGGCTATCATCTGGGTAAACAATTTATAGATTATCTATTGCTTTTTACTCTGTGCGTCTATTTGTAAAAATAAGTGTAAAGCCTCAGTTACCCTGATTGCCTTTCCATTACTGAAAGTTCTCCTTAATGCCCTATCCTCACTACAGATTAAGTCTGATAATTAGTTATAAACTCTAATAAATGTGAACAACACTTGGGCTTCTCTTCCCTTGAAGAAGAATAAAGAAGTAAAATAATTGTAAATGATACGTGTGAAAGCAGAAAATGGATTAACTCTGCTGTGAGAAAAGACAAGACACCACAAGACATGGTCAGCATAAGGTGCCATGCAGGGGGAAGCAAGGAAGTGTTAGGCATGGTGGAGGAATGGACTAGGGAAGGAACAGTCCATGTGGAATGCTGACAATGGAGGAGCGGATGTGTTTGCTGGTGATATCCTGCTGGAGATGGTGAAAATGGGAAAGGATCCTTTGAATGCAGAGACTCGTGTGGTGGAAGGTAAGGACAAGGAGACCCCATCATCATTCTAGGAGAGAGGGGAAGGAATGAGGGCAGAAGTACAGGAAATGGGTCAGACACAGAAGAGAAGCTTGTCAACCACAGTGGAAAAGTTTCCTTGGTTGAGGTATAAGAAAGGCATGTCAGGTATACTTTGATGCAAAGTGCCATAATTGGAACAGATGAGACCGAGGCAGATAAATTGAGAGAATGGAATGGAATCCTTCAGGAAGCAGGGTGTGAGAAAGTATTTGGTCAATGTAACTTTGGGAGGCTGTGGGTTTGAAATGAATATTAGTGGATAGCCTATTCCTAGAAATGGAAACAGTGAAGTCAAGGAAGGGGAAGGAGGAATCTGATGGAATTGGTGAAGGTGAGAGAGGAATAGACATTCAAAACAAAATATTAACTATTTTCCAATTCTAGATGAAAATGGGAAACAGCATCAACTACATCATCGATGTATAAGAGAAAAAGTTGTGGATGGGGGTCCAAATTGAACTGGGACAAGGAATATTCCACATATCCCACAAAAAGAGGCAGGTGTAGCTGAGACTGACACACTCTTAAAGCCATATGGGTAGATAGTCACAGTTGGAAAAAGTGGGACAAGTTAACAGAGAAGTTGTTCAAAGTGAGAACAAAATAGCCAGATAAAGGAGGATGGTGGTGACGGATGGGAACTGATCAGATCTCCTTTCAAGGAAGAAGCAACGGGCCTTCAGACCATCCTGAAGTTAAATGGACATGTAGAGAGATTGGACACATATGATGAAGAAGGGGCGGCTGGGCAAGAAAAGTGGAAATTGTGGAACCATGTAACGCATCAGAAGAGCCATAACTGGGAAGATGATGAACAAAACGGAAAATATACATCAAAATAGGAAGAAATAAGTTCAGTGGGACAGGAATAGGCTGAAATGATGGATCTGACAGGGCAGTCTTGTTAGTGACTTTGAAAAGAGGATAGAAGCAGGGTTGGGGAACAATGAGGTAGGAATCTAAGAGGGGATAGAGTCAGTAATAGTGCTGGAAACAGTAGCTTGATGTTCAGTGGTAGGGTCATGATCCAGGGGAAATAGGAGTAAGTGTCTGACAGTTGGGCCTCAGTGCAAGGTAGACAACAGCAGCACCACCCCTATCAACAGGTTTGAAAGTAGGTTAGATTTGAGAGAACGGAGAGCAGCTAGTTCGAGGGTTGTAGATTAGAGTGGGTAAGAAGAGCAGAAAATTTAATGTGGGCAATGTCACATCAACAGTTCTCGATGCAGAAATCAAATGCAGATAAGTGACCACAGGAAGGGGTCCAGGTGGAGGGGGAGTATAGTACTGGAAATGGGTGAAAAGATCTCTGGAGCAGGGAGACGACTCCTGTCCGAACAGGTGGGCACATAGGCAAATGCAAAAGGAAGCTGAGTTAAACGTCATGCCTGAAATGTATTGAGGTGGCGAAGAAGAGGGATTCCAAGTCATTTGCTGAACACAGATCATTCAGCATCGGAAGATCAGAGGACGTGGTGAATAGGCACCATGAGGAGGGAAGGGAAGGGGGGGTAAAAATTCAGAAGAGTGTTGGTACCTGATGAAGGAGATAATTAGTTGCTACTTGTTAATTCATTGGATGGATACAGATTCACATAGATACAAGGATCTTCTCATCGGTAGTATGGTGAGCAGCACAGCTGACCAATAAATGTTAGTGTACAGCCACCAAGCTGTTTACCACAATATGAATACCTATGATATGCATGCTTGTCTCTCTGCAACGTGGTTGTATTAGATGAGCTATCTCATCAGCATATATTCTCATTTCTGGCCAAGTGGACAACTTACAAGCAGTGTTCCTCCCCTGGACCCTGGCAGACACAGTAAACTGAAGGATAACTCTTATTTAAAAGGTCTAGAAGTTTCATTTGCCACTTTTGTTGCCTTGAGAAAATAGTAATTTATCAGAGTAAAGTCAACCACATATGTGGAATGGAGTCACACATAGACCAAAGTAGCTAGTAATAAAGGTATTTTCTTCCTCTGAAAGACATTATTTAACCATTTCACCAGTTACCAGATTACTTGAATCCAGTTTGAAATGGTGAAATTTGAATGTGTAACTACCAGTACCAATACCTTAACCCTTTCATTAACATATCTGGCTGATGCTTAAATGTGCACCCTTTGATTTGGAGGGTAGATTTCTAATACTTATGAGCTTACCCTTAATATCATAAACGTTTTCACAAATATTTACTCTGGTTTGTTAAATTGGCAAAATAAGCCCATTCTTTTTGAACAGGTTAATAATTTTGCAGAAATCCACCCGAAGAAATGATTAGAAATGTCCATATAATGTTGTTAAATACATCAACGAAAAAACAGGTGGAAGCTTACAAGGCCCTGACTGATATGGAATAGGGTGGAAAATCTGGGGGAGTTGCATGCAAAGTCCATTGAGGCCTTTCTTGATGTCAGGAATAACTAGATGCATTTTCCAACCAAGGTCTGATGTCAACTTGAGATTCTTGCTAGGCAGTGGCAAGATGCACATTGAGAGGGATTATAACTTGTTATCAACCTCATTAACTGCACTTCTCACCTAATTAAAAATCTTCAGCCAGGAAGTGCCAAGTGAATGATCCATTTTACCTCCTCCAAGGTCCCCATTATTACAGATGCCAGTCTTGAACCAACTCAATTTACTTCACATGTAATCAAGAAACCGCTGAAGGCACTGGTCACTGTAAAGGTCCTGACAACATTCCAGCAGTATTCTAGAAGACCTGTGCTCCAGAACATTCCACACCCCAAGCCAATTATTCTAGAACAGTACAGCACTGATGTTGTAGACTGAAATTGAAAGATATGACTATGTAGCTCCTTGTCCTTCCACACTCCGTGAGGAAATTAAATACTAAGAATTCCAGACAAGAAAGTCAAAGCGGGTACCTAGTGACTCCATCCTGGTCACCAGGAAACATCTCAGGGAACTGACCACACCCAAATTCTATACATGGACGCTGACATGTCACACCTGCCAGCCTCTCTGGACTCTTATGGCTCCTTGCCAGTACTCTTAGAGGATGCTTCTGCACTTTAAACCTGCACTAATTATGCTGTGTGCTAAAGGACCGTATACAAATTTGACCAGGCTGCATCTGAGTTTGCTCACTTGCTCTCTTAATACTCAGTCACCATCAGCAACCCACTTGGGATGCTCGCAGCTTTCCTGCCTTGCCTTTTGTTGCCTTCCCTTAACATTTTCTGTTTTTCATCCCCAAGTTAGAGTTACTAGACTCACAACACTTCTGTCTTAT